TATCCTAATTCAAAAATTGAAAATCCTCCTTTATATACATATTCTGAACCTAAAAGTTTTGGTATAAAAGAAACAATTTCTGTTTTATCTCAACAACCTATAGAATCTCCAATTCAACCTTCTATTTCTGATAAAACATTATCACCAAATAGCGGACAAATAAATTATCCAATTAAACGATTTGGTGATAGTGATTTTTGGGAACAAATATTATTAGAATCAGAAAATTATGATTTTAAAAAAAAACCATTTCCACCTGCTCGAATTAGAAAAATTACAAAAATAAATACTAATAATAAACAATTAAAAACAGAAACAATTGAAATACTTTCTCGTGCATGTGAATTATTTATTAAAGATTTAACAACACGTGCAGGATATCTTACTTCAGAAGGAAAAAGAAAAGTAATTAAAAAAGATGATATTGTTAAAGCAATTATTAATGATGAAAAATTTGATTTTTTAATTGATTTTTTACCACATAATTGATTATTTATAAGAATTCATAATATAATTTATTCTTTATGATTTAAACAATAAATTAATTGATTATTTTTTAAAATATCTCTTTAACTAATTTTGTTCTTGAACTTAAAATTATTTCTTCTTTATTATCAAAAAATATATTGTGAATTTGTGTACCAATAGAAATAATTTCATCAGAATATAAAAATGGTTCATTATTTTTTTCAACTGATTCAATCATTTCATATATATCTATAGTTTTTGTTTGAAAAGAATATCCAAATAATCCAATTATATCTATAATATAATTATTACTAGTATTAATAATTTGATATGATGTTGGTTCATTTGGAAATTTAGATTTTAAATATTCTTTAAAATCAACAATATCTCCTTCAATTTCAATTGTTGATATATAAGGAATTGCAGCATCTACTTCTTTTGGATGTAATATTGAAAATTTAATACTTGCATGTTGTGCTAATAATCCTATTAAGAAAAATGTTTCAATTGATGCATCTCCTGCATATTGTATTTTATTTTTTTTAATATAATGTGGTGTTTGACTTGATTCAGATTCAGAATCATCAGGTATTATAACAGCAGTAAACATCTCAAAATATTTCAAGAACTTTTTTTAATTAAAACAAAAAAAATTATTTATTTAATTTTATCTTTTTTTTTATTTTTATAAATATTTTAACAAAAATATATATTTTTAAACTAAAAGAAAAAAAAAAATTAGAATATTATTCTTGATCCATTTCTTGTTCTTCTTCTTTTTCAAGACCAGTAATATGTTTAGAGACTATTAATATCTTTAACATAGATTTATCTATTAATACACCTGCACTTCTTTTTGATTGTAAATCCATACAATGTGATTTTAAAAATAACATATGACCACTTTCTGATAAAAGAATATTATCTTTTTCATTTCCTTTTCCTCTAATAATATAATCACATTTAGTATTTTCTAGAATATCTGTATCTAATAACCATCCTTTTTCTTTAGATTCTTTTTCTGATCCACTAATAGGAATAATTTTATATGGGATTTTCTTTAATTTTTTTAATTCTTCAAGAATATTAGAAGATATTGAAATAGAATCTGGTATTCCAAAATGAAGACAAAGAATTTTATTATCAATTAATGCACCAATAGCAAAATGACTAATAGATTCAATAATTGAATGATATAATTTATCATTTCCATATTGATCAATAATCTTAGATTTAATAAAATCAAATATTGGAATTAATTCATTAGGTAGATTTAATAAAGGATATTGAGGATTTAATAATACAAAATTTAATGGACATAAAATTCTAAGTGCTGCTATTAAAGCAAATACTTCAATTGGATGAGGACCAAATGGTATATAATCACCAACAAGAACTACATTACAAGGACCAAAACTACTTGAAGGAATAATTTCTAATGCATAAAAAAGTCTAATTGCATCATCATAACTTCCACTTAAATCACCAATAACAAAACATGGTGGTGTAATAGTAACAAATGATGGTTTTTGATTAAGAACATTATTTAATCCTTCAATAAGTTCTAAAAATAAAGTTAATGGTATTTGTCCATTTTTCCATTCATGAGTTTCTCCATGAGGTCCAGTTTGTTTTCTTCTTATAAAATATTTTTTTAATATTCTCATTACACGATGAGCAACAAGTTGATAAAATTCATCATTATCTGATTGTATTGAAAGATTTGGACTTCTAGATTCTTCAACATTTTTTTCATAAATCATTCCTTTTTTCATTTCAAAATATGATTTATTAAAAATATATGTTGGACTATGTTGTTCTAAATATTTTGGTATTAAATCAGAAAGAGAAGTTGGATGTAAATGAATTCTTATAACTTTATGATGTACCATTTCACATATAAAATGTGGATTAGTAATAAATGATTTCCCATTATCCATTGGCATTTCAATTAATTCTATTGAACCTTCTTTTGGTAAATCTTTTGGAATAGTCATTTCAAGTTTATCAAACCATTTTAAAACAATATTAATTGAAACATTATATCTTTTCATATATAATTGTTTAGACATACAAAATATATTTCCAAATCTAAAATACTTTCTTTTACTTATTTGTCTTTTCATATAATTTTGATTTATTTAATATTAAATAACAAAAAATAACTTAATTAATAATTTGTTATTTAAAATAAAATAAAAAAAAAACTAAAAGAATCAAATTAAAATGACAAATTTAAGAGAAAACATTTCAAAAGATATTTATCAAAAACGAGAAAATGAATTATCAATATTACGAAAAAAAAGAAGAGAATTGTTCCAAAGTCAAAAAAGAGGAATTAATGAAAATGAAATTGATTATACTAAATATTCAATAAATGATTTTGAAATAACAAATAAAATTATACAAACATGGGAATATTATCTTTATGTTAAAAAAATATCAAATGAACAAAATGCACCAATATTTTTTAAATATGGAAAGAAACAATTACAAGAAATTAAAGAATTTGAATCAATTAAAGATATATTTATGGCAATAGAAATATTATCAAAATTTCATTCAATACAAATTCAATTAATATCATCAATCTCTTGTTTTATAAACTTTCTTTTTACAAAATGTTGTAAAGAAATATTAGTAATATTTACAAATATGTGTTATAATAATTCTTTTAATGAAAATTTATCTTCTTATTTTCCTCAATTACTTTTTTGTGATATTCAAGATTGTTTTTCTCAATTTTGTGATTTAATTTTATCTATTAATGAACAAACTTTATTTATTTGGATTAATATTGGTATTATAAAAAGATTATTTGATTTATATGGAACAGATAATCTTATTGATACTTGTACTGATCATTTAACTACTTTTTTAGATCTTCCTGTGGATTCTTTAGATACTAATGACTTTTATCAATTAGATGAAAGAAATGATTCTATTACTATCAATATTTTACGTGTATTAAAAAAATGGCCTATTATAGCTACTTATTATATTAATGAAACATCTATTATTCTTCTTCAATTTCTACCTCAAAATGATTATGAAATTAATCTTTTTGTAGAAACTATTATTTCATTAAGTCATAGTTCATTTAAAACACAACTTTTTGGAATTATTCAACAAAATAGTTATTTGAAACTCAATAGTTATAAGTTCTGTGGTCTGAGTTAAATTATAAACATTTAAAATAACTAACTTTTTTTACAAATAAAAAATCTTTTCCCTTTCAAATCCAAAAAAGTTGATTTGTTTCATACTATCATATGTTAAGTTAAACAACTTCCTAAACCAAAAAAAAAATCATAGAACATTTCTATCTCTTATTATGGATAAATGAAAGAGTATTAAATACTATATTCAACTAACTTAATTCTTTGATCTTATTGTTTATTTTGTAATTCAATTAATACTATTACAACGTTCTTCAAAATGAATTAAAGTCATTTAACAGAATCTTCATCCATCTCTATATTCATACTTCTCAAAATTCTAAAAGAAAATTTATGATTTCAACTCAATTACTTACCATTGAAAAAGAAAGTCAAAACTAATAAATTCTATAAAATAAATGAAGTAACTAATATCAATATGAATAATGATGAAATAGATATTTGGGATGTTTATTTGTTTTCTTTAAATATTATTTATATTTTTTATCTTATTTAAATTAATAATTAACAAATTAAATGTCTTTAAGTTGTGGTATCGATATTACAAGTAAAGTTATTCAATACACAGAACAACAAGAATTAACTCAAGATGAAAAAGAGTTAAATTCAATATTATTATTTAATTTCTTTATTGAACATAATAAATAACCAGAATTAAGTAACTTTTGTATAGAAAGAGATATTTATTTAAAATATAATCATTTAAATAGATATTATAATATCTAACATTATATAACTGGATGTTAGGATATACTTATTATTTTTTCTCAATTATCTGCTTTTTATCAAAA